ATGGCTGTCTGCAAAAGTCCATTTAGTTCACTGACTCGTGACTTAACATGCCAATGCGGCTTGCGCAGGTCCTGTTGCAGTGTTGGCAACGAAATTCTCCCGAGTCTGCGACAGTGGAGGCGTTCCTGGTAGCGTGACGTCTTGATCGTTTTACAGCGTTGCTCCGCCGCTGATTTTAATCGACATGTTGATTATATTCTCGCCATTAAGATTTCCAGGCAAACCATGTTAAAACATTATTTTAATGTCACTGTAGGCATTAGGTTAAGAAATACTTTTACGTTTTCCCATCATTAATTGATACAAAATTTCTATTATCTTACTATAAATATTGTATTGAATTTAAAAACTTAAACATTGAGGTCAGGGTTAGTTTTGTTAATGTAGAGTGCTTCTTTGATTTTTAGGGAGAATGAGTTGTCGGCAGTGTCGATGATTTTGAAGCAAGAGGGTGAATAGTTGGTTTTACATGAGTGATATTTAAGAAGGAGTCGGTAGATATGAGAGTTTTTGTCTGATGTGGTATGTTCCCTTATTCTGGTGGATAAATAGCGCGAAGTTTTGCTAATGTATCCGGAATTACATCCCGCGCAATTGAATTCATATACAACCATTGATTTAATTGCATCAGGGATTGGGTTTTAGAATGAAAAAAGGTTTTTGATTTTGAATGATGTGAAAATCAGTTGAATGTCAATATCTGTACAGAAGCGTTTCATAATGTTTGTAGGTTTGCGCTGTGTGTGTCGTGAGTAATGTCCGATGTATGGTAGTTTAAAGTATAAAGTTGTTATTTTGGAATGGTCATTCAGTATGAGTGCCATTAGTAGAGAGCTAAGATACTTAGCTAAATTATAATTGTATGCGTTAATTGATGAAACTATCGGTCGTAATGGAGGCGATTGCTCTGGTTCTCGTTTCTTGTGGAGTTTCTGCAAGCCATAGAAACGTGAGGGTTGAGAACCTCTGGAGAAGATTTCATTGTAAACTTCTGTTGTTGATCGAGTCTTTCTTTAGAAGCTTCCTTAACAGTAGTTGCAGTTTCATTGATGATAGGTAACTTCTTGTATTGTTAATGATTTCAAGGCAGGAGTTACGATACATTTGACGATCCATGATAACAACGCCGTTGCCTTTGTCCGGTTTAAGAATGATAATGTTTGGAATAATGCGAATGTTTTTAAGGATGCGATGTTTTTCGAAGTCAGCTGGTGTCGGATGATAAGATGAGATGTACGAGTGAGCGATGTGTGCCAGCTCTGTTTTAGATGCGTGTAGTCTTCTTGATTGCGAATACTGTGTTTTATAGTTTGGTGGTTTTTTCGTATGTTGCCAGAATGTCGGCTGAATTGAATTGTAGAAGTTTAATGCTGAACCCAAGGCCATTTTTCAGGGGTTCTAGTTCTTCGTCCTTTCATTGGTGTGATAATATATTGGTTATCGTTTCGTTGTGTGAGAATGGTAGAGTTCTGTGTTAAGATATGAACATCGAACGAAAAGTCAAACAGCATAGCATTGCATGCATAATTAAGTAGATATGACACATGTCAGATTAAGTGATATTCTGAACTTGTTATCATAATATCGTTATTCGCCGATATTTAACTTGTTATTTGTTTCACAATAAAATCATAAATATTTCACGTGCAATCCGAATGTTATTGCCAAACGACGAATAATTTAACATATTGTTCTTTGAGATTACTTTTTTGATGTGTGGTAATTGTCTTTTGTAGGTATTTGGCTTTGTTTTTATATAGCATAATTAACAAAATACCTAGAAAAGACAATTACCACACATCGGAAAAAACTAAGTAATCTTACGAGGAACAGAACTTTACCATTCACACACAACGAGACGATAACCAATCTATCATCACACCAATTAAAAGACGAAGAACTAGAACTCGTGAAAAATGGACTTGAGTTCAGCGTTAAACCACCACGACTCGACTCAACCGACATTCTGGCAACATACGAAAAATCCACCAAAGTATAAAACACAACATTCGCAATCAAGAAGACTACACGCATCTAAACAGAGCTAGCACACATCGCTCCCTCAAACATCTCATCTTATCACCCGACACAAGCTGACTTCAAAAAACATCCTTTCCTTAAAAACATTCGCAACAATCCAAATATTATCATTCTAGAATCGGAAAAAGGCAATGGCGTTGTTATCATGGATCGTCAAATGTATCGTAACTCTTGCCTTAAAATCATTAACAATACAACATAGTTTACCCCACTCAAAGAAGACGTCACACTATCACGTGAAGCCAAACTGCAACGACTGTTAAGGAAGCTTCTGAAGAAAGACTCGATCAACAACAAAGTTTACAATGAAATCTTCTCCAGAGGTTCTGACCCTCATGCTTCTATGGCTTGCTGAAACTCCACAAGAAACTAGAAGCAGAACAATCGCCTACACTACGACCGATAGTTTCATCAATTAACGCATACAGTTATAACTTAGCTAAGTATCTTAGTTCTCTACTAACACCACTCATACCAGATAACCACTCCCTTAAAGATTCTTTCACTTTCATCGACGACTTCTCATCTTTCAACTCATCAACTTCTTGTCACAAATTCTTCATCTCCTACGACGTTGGAAGCTTATTTACTAACATACCACTTACTGAAACCATCAACCTAGCAATTGACGTAATATTCACTCACAATCCCAGGTTCAGTATAAACCGGACAGACCTCACACAACTGTTTTTAATAGCAACAGCACAGACAAATTTTCTATTTAATGGAAATTTTATGACCAGACGGACGGTGTTGCGATGGGCTCTCCCTTAGCACTCATACTTGCTAACATTTTCATAGGCTCACATGAACGAAACTTGCTAATTATTTATAACGACACTAAACCACGTTTTTACCGCAGAAACGCTGACGATATTTTTTGTGTTTTTACAAACGAAACTGGGGCCATGAAGTTTTATAATTGCATTAACTCACAGCACGCAAACATTAGATTTTCATTTCAAACTGAACAACAAGATCAACTGTCATTTCTTGATATTTTACTAACAAAATCCCATGACAGCTGTACAACATCTACATATCACAGACCAACGTCACAGGACTTCTGACGAACTATTTTAGTTTCACACCAATTTCATACAAAACCGGACTTATAAGCATTCTAATCGACAGAGCATACAAACTTAACAATACGAACAATGGCTTTCAACGAAACATAAAAAACATCACATCCACTTTTTACGAGACTCTTTCCCACTACACTTTATTAACAGAGCCGTTAAAGGAATATCTTGACAACAAACAAAGCAACAACCTTAAAATTAGACACCAAAACTCCTGACACGACGATCACGACCAACACAAATGAAATTTCCAAAATAACAACTCTATACTTCAAACTACTATACATCGGACATTACTCACGACACACACAGAGCAGATTTACAAAAATTATGAAACGCTTATGTACAGATATTGACATTCGACTAATTTCACATCATTCGAAATCAAAAACCTTTTCTCATTCAAAAACCCAATCCCAGATGCAATTAAATCAATAATGGTATATGAATTCAATGGCGCGGGATGTAATTCTCGATACATTAGCAAAACGTCGCGCCATTTCTCCACCAGAATTACACATACCACAACAGACAAATACTCTCATATCGACCGACTCCTTCTTAATTCTCACTCATTAAAAACCAACTATTCACTCTCTTGCTTCAAAATCATCGACACTGCCGACACCTGATTCTCCTTTGAAATCAAAGAAGCACTCCACATTAACAAAACTAACCTTGACCTCAATGTTCAAGTTTTCAAATTCAATACAATATTTAGTTTATAATACGCTCGGACGCTCCCCATTAATTTATCTTATTTCCTTTTTATTGTCGTAATTTATGCATTATATTACTTTTATATAAACCTTGTATTATTTATTATTTCACTTATACTGAAGATGGCATCATGAGATGTCGAAACATGTCTATTTTAAACATGGCGTAACATGTCGTTCGCAAACGCTAGGCGTCCAAATTGCATATTATTTTGTTTTTTTCGTTTTTAAACGTCATTTTGTTATTTCCTCATCAATTGTGAGTACAAAAATAAGAATAATTGATAAAGGTTTTAACAAAGCACAAGATATAAAAAACCATTAATTTTTTGTGAAATACTACACCCGAACAGCTTGAGACCCATTTAGAGCGATATATCTTTTGTCAACACAGAGTTTATCAGTTTGATATGTTTTTAATTGAATGAAAAATAATGGCATATTGTAAAGAGATCGTTTCATTTCTTCTTCTACAGACGTTACTTATTAATTTCTCCTTGTGCAACATCGTGAAACGAAAAGCACCAGAAGGAAAACTTTACGTATTTTTAAAAAGAGAAGGATGTGTATCAGTACAAAGTGGAAGTCTTTGTACATTAAACTGGAAATTAAATCCATATATCGCCAAAGTTTACACACAGAAGAACAAGGTCGTTTCACATGCACTCAATCTCTACGTTCAACTTGGCATTTCAGCAATTCGTGATGCACTACGGAAGATGAAATGAATCATGCATATAAGCTAAACATGCATGACATGTTCTAATAAGGAAAGAAACAGTTGTTTTGTTTTTATTTATCGAAAATGCCAGGAGAACCAAGTCTAAGTCTAGTTAAACAAATTTAATGTCTTCTCAGAAAAAGAAATTTTGAAATTGGCTCGTAATTTTGATGAAAAAAAAACGGCATAAAAGTGGAACAAATTAACCAACCATTGGCGTCAATCCTGTATTAATTTGGGAGGGGGGGCATATTCATATGTTATGCTGTGCTTGGCTAATTTCTTTTTAAAACAATTTCACTTTCAAAAGAAATCAGCCTGGCATAGCTGAATATATGAATTTGCAACCCTCGAACTTTGGTCTTGGGCGTGCTCTGATCTGCTCTCGAGCTCTCCCAAAGGTCTCCTCGGTTTGTTTGCATAAGCATGTGCAACTACAGTAAACATCTTTTATTTCTTAAATGAATGATGATCCAAATGTATTCATTGCCGCCTGAAGCACTAGGTGAGACTTTAACCGGTTGTGGTCTTTCACTTATGATGAAAATAATGTACATAATCGGTTTACAAAAGTTTTCTTATGTTCCAAGTTGCATCATTTTGTCGGCAACAAATATTTAACGCCAGTCGTTACATGGTCGTTATATTTTATTTTCTGCTAATGCTGGAGCTACGTGCGATAAAATTATCAAGCAAAAGTGGTGGCTGCACGTAAGACAATTTTTTTATCGACGACCATTTTGTCAATGTTTATTGGTAAACATCAATTTCAATCTTGCCATTTCTCGCGTCTCATTGGCCAGAAGTGGTTTGTCGTGTCGCGTTTTTCAGTCAGGACCATTGAACTAAAATACATGAAAAACTATCTGAAGAAAACAATTGAAGCCAAATATTAATCCCAGACATGCAAGATTACACCCAGACACGCGTGTTTAGTGTGTCAAGATTGTCTAGTGGAGTGAAAATTGATTCAATTACACAAGCGTGTGTGGTTGTAAGCTCGCGTGGCCAAGTGTAATGTTTGGCTTCAAAACATATTAGGCTTTTCTATTACGTGTAGCGTTTCATGTGTTTTAGTTCAATGGTCGAGACCCAATAATCATTTATTCAAGTAATTCGTATATTTACTAAAGTTGACGTATGTCAAAATGGTAAAGAACATGTGCAAAATATTGCAAGAAATGAGTAAGTGTGCTGTGCCATTCTACATACTAAAAATTATTTTCCGAGCATCTCCAAAGGCGACCTAGAAATCTGTTTAAGTTTTTTATTCAATCGATTTATGTAAGTACTAAATCAGATTATTATATGGCAAGCGTTACATCCGGCTAAATGGCGCGCTTTGATTGGCTCAGAAACATTTTTGCCGGTTCATTTTTTTCTCCTAATCAACCACGGTAAAAAACGCGTAATTTTACAGTCAAATGTAAACAAACTTCGTAAAGCAACATCAAAACGCAAAATAAACGAAACAAAAAACCATTTACGAATGTGATTCGATGGTAAAACACTTGGAAAACATCTAATTATCAAGACGATACAATTTAAAACGATTTATTTTTTATGGACTAAGACTAGAAAAGTGAAAACAGCAAGGACGAGAAAGAAAGCAAGCTTCATTTCATGTCAAATACTAAGCCCTTAATGTCCGAGAGCGAGGTCTTTACGGAAAAATAACGGATCGAGGTATTTTTGTACAGACCGAGCCCGTGGGCGAGATTTGTACAAAAAGACCTCGGTCCTCCAAATTATTCGTTTTAAATTTTATCGTCTGCATAGTTTAACTGTTTTCCAAGTGTTTTACCGTCAAATCACATTCGTAAATGGTTTTTGTTGATTTTGCGTTTTGCTGTTTGCTTTACGAAGTTTGTTTACATTTGACAGTAAAATTACGCGTTTTTGACGGTGGTCGATTACGGGAAAATAATGGACCGGCAAAAATGTTTCTGAGCCAATCAAAGTGCGCCATTTAACCGAAAGTGACGCTTGCCATATAATAATCCATTTTTAACTTTTCATATTGTAAGATAATTGTTCATATAATGATCGGAAATTGTTCCTCTAAAATGTGTTACATCTTCGTTTGCTGGATATTCGTGGCATCTGTCTGTACCAACGCAATTAATTTCTTGGCCAACATGTACAAACCTCATAAGAGGAGGAACGACTGTAACAAGGTCATCCTTATACGTCATTCTAAGATTCAATCCGCTTAATGCTCCGTTGACATGTTCTGCAAATTCATGGTTACCAACCCTAGGCGAGCCAAAGGTTATTAAATCGACACGATGTCCAGCATTGACCAAATCAACTGCTGCCAAAGTCGCCATTGCCCCACCAAGTGAATGACCTGTCACTAAAACTCTAGCGTCGGAATGTTCGTCAGATAAAGCGCTTACTTTCTCAAGCATTTGTTCTTTCAATGCGTTATAAGACTGAAAAAATCCAATGTGTACTTTGCAATCTTCGCAACCCGAATATCTTTGTTTGAAGAACTTGAGATTTCTATACCAGTCAGTAAGGTCGTTAGAACCTTGAAAAGATACAACGATTTTATTTCCTTCGTACTTGACAAAGCCTTTCACCCTCTCGTCGTCTTTTAACCTTGTTTCAGTAGGATTTACTTCTTGGTAGGCCTCTTCTGCATATAATGCAGCATTTCGAATCGCTGCCAATTTCTCGGGTGGTAAAGGACGAGTGTTCCTCTTGTCTATGACAGGTCCAGTTGTGGAGCAAAATTTGCCAGTTGGGCAAGTGCGACAATATATTTTTCCTCTTTTGTCTTGATACGATCCGTTACGACACTTTACGGGAGATTTATTCTTCCAAAGACAAGAATAACCTTTTGGACAAACTTTGCATTTTGATTGTCCAGTTTGAAGATTGTATTCTCCAAACTTACACGATTTGCAAGATGTTTGACCTGTTAGGTCTTGATATTTTCCTTTGCCACATTTTACAAAATGTGATGGATTATTTATCAAAGGACAGTAATGACCAACTGGTGCATCACAACCTGAAAACTGATAAGCTTGCACAAAAGAAGTTATACTTAGAAAAATTATGAAAATCGTCATCTTTTAATTTTTGAATCAAATCAGAGACGCATGCATATCAATTGACATTTATATACTCAGCATAAAGATAGAGTAATTGCTCTATTGACTGGAACGGAGTCAAACAGGTACCAGTTCGTTCCGGTCGCGGTCAATAGTATCTAGGAAAAAGTTTTAGTCACGCTGTTTGTTTGATTGAGAGCCGTAGCAAATTTTTCCTGTACCTTTAATGTCATGATTTTAGATAAGTACATTCATAGTAGAGTAAGAATGTTAAATAAGGAACATTGCTTATTAAAAATAAAAATAAAGATAAAATGATAAACTTATTAAGTTCATCAACATAGTCAAGTTCATAAAATAAGTTTTATTTTTTCAAGCACCATGAAGATTGTAAATATCATTCCATGAAAATAGTAAATGTCTGCATTAATGCAATTAAGTGCTTTGAAAGTCTCAGAAACCAACAACTGTACTTTGTTAACGACAAAACAATCAAAAACATCTTGAATACGTATATTTTATTTCTAAAAATTACAAAAGCTTTCATTTTCATACAGATTTCATGTTCATTATCCCATTCTAGTAAATCTTAAGTCAATATCTTAAGATATTTTATTAATCATGAAACAAAGATACAGTTTAATTATAAAAATCGACCTGTGACCAAAGCAATGTACAAGAAAGCGAAATTATATTGCTCTGGTAATTAAACTCGACTCGAAATTTTGTCTTATAAGTTTCTATATATCATTGTCTCGCTGAGCATAGCCGTATCAAAAAAATTGGAAAATTTAAAGATGTCTAGAAAACTAACATTTTATCATAACTTCTCAAAAATGGGCTTACGTCTTAGTATTTTTGCATCGTTTGGCTTATCTAAAATTAAAATTACTCTTGAAAAGCTGAAAAGCGTATTGTTTAAGTCTAAATTTTAAGCTGTGTTATGCACTGTACAAAATTTTAAAAGTTTTGACTTAAAGTTCACCAAGCAAAGTGTCTAAATTGATGTTTTTTACAGTTTGTTCATTGTCGCAAATTTTTACTTAGAAGCACTGATTACGTACTTTAGTGATTGTTTTAATGACGTAACCTACAAAAACCTAAGTTTGAATGTAATCAGTCATGTTTTAATGACGTAACCTACAAAAACCTAAGTTTGAATGTAATCAGTCATGCATGTAATCCGCCATGTTTTAATGACGTAACCTACAAAAACCTAAGTTTGAATGTAATCAGTCATGCATGTAATCAGAAACATGAGAGAATCTCGAAACACTTCACACTTCACACGCGTTGTCTGGTATCAAATTTGCGTGTCTGGAATAAAATCTTGTCTTCTAAAAATTGTTAGATTTTTCTGTTAGAGGTAGCGTACTATTATACATGGTAGCGTCTCTTGATATGATCAATAAGGCCTGTTTCAAACGTCACATTTTAGATGAGCCGAATGCATTTAAGACAAAAGATAATAAGGAATTTTATCTCATTATCTTTTATTTTAAATGAATTCGGCGTACGTAAAATGCGACGTTTGAATTGGGCCTAAGAGGATAGACGCACGGAATTGATGGTAATGAAAATTTCTTGTTTTTTAATTACAAAATTTTTAGCTCAGCCAGCCTGCAAATTTGTTCCCGCTATGTAAATTTTTATCATCAACATTATTGATTTCTATAAAAATCTATTGTTTTTACAGTATAACTAAACATTAAAGAATTTACATAAGATACGACCAAACCTGCGGGCTGGCTACGCAACAGGCAAAAATAGCTAAATATTTTCCTGATCTGCCAACTCCTACATGGTTTTGCTTTCCATAGAGTTTACCTGACATTTGATGACCGTTCTTCCCCCTTGACTCAGGTCCCAAAACCCCTGTAATGCTAAAGGATCTTCTGTAAAACTGAGTTAAGTGTTAAGTATGATTGGGATTCGTACTGCTTAATAATTGCAAATGTTTATGATTATTTTTAAAAACAATTATCCTGTTTCTAAGTCACATGTACAAGCCTTTGATGCGTAACTGACTAAGCATGTGATCGATAAGTTTCCCTTCGATCTCAGCCGGATTAATTATAGGGATAGTATTTCTTCATGTTTGACAGCGTCCTGATGTTGAAGACTTTTCAGGTATTCTTTAACCTCATAAGTTTTGATTTCTTGCGATGGGCTTAACTTACTCATTTGAACATTTTCAAATAGGTTTGACGACCAATTAGATTCCGTTTTGCTTTATCTAGGTTTTCATGTTATACATGCACGTGTCTACAAGATCTTAGATATTGAAACTAGTCCTGAACTAAAAGTCTCACAACAAATTTATATATTAAAATATAAGATGGCCGACAAGCAACAGCAAGAGCGTTAAAATATAACTAAAAATATAAATAGATTATACCTCTTACCGAATGAAATGCCACAACGTGGTTCACCAACACACTATGAAGATACTCCGAAAACACTTCAACTATCTTTTTTTGTGTTCACCATACACCATTACGACTCACTGTCAACGACCAATATTTTTCAGCTCCTTCTATAACAATTTCCATCAGGTTTTATTTAAAAAGCGTGACTACATTGCATTTTATACATTTATTTAATAATAACATGACAACATGTTACCAGTTCAACCTAATCACACTATCACAAGCCCTTTGTCCGATGACTTGTTTATACTATATCATGTGCATACTACGTCACATAGACTTGTAACTAACCCTTATGACGCAATTAAAATGTATCATAACACAATTTTCATACACCTACTACATTAATTTATTCTTCATTTTCTTATGTTGTAAGATAATTTTTTATAAAATGGTTGGCAATATTTCGTCTGACATGTGTTAGTTTGACATGTGTTAGTGTTTCGTCTTGGTTAGCGCGAGATTCGTGGCATTTGTCTTATTTGTCTTTACCAACACAAAAAATTTCTTGGCCGACATGTAGATAATTCATATTAGGGAGAATGACTGTAAGAATGTATCCTTATACGTCACTCTGAGATTGCATCCCTCCAAAAGATCCTTGACGTGTTTTTTAAATTCATGGTTATCAACACTGGGTTATTAATAACTGGCCAAAGGTTATCAAATCGACAGAATATCCTGCCTCTTTCAAATCGACTGCTGCCAAATTCGCAATTGTTCCACCAAGTGAATGACTCGTCACCAAACTCTAGAAGGGGTATGTTCGTCAGACAAAGCGCTTACTTTTTAAAGCGTTGCCCCTCTCAGTGCACTATGAGACTGAAAGAATCAAATGTGTATTTGGCAATTTTCATAACCAGAATAGCTTTGTTTCAAGAGCTTGAGATTTTTATACCAGTCATGTAGTAGCGTCATTAGAACCAACTCGGCAAAATGTTTTTCCTTTTTGTTCTTAATAATGACCTTTACGACACTTTAAAGCTAATTTATTTTTCCAAAGACAAGAGTGACCAACTGGACAAACATTGCATTTTGATTTTCCACTTTGAATATTATATTTTCTTTCCTTACATGACTTGCAAGATGTTTTGCCTCATTCGTCTTGATATTTTCATTTCCCAAATTCTACAAAATCTGTTGGGTTATTTATCGAAGGACAAAAACGACCTTCACACGCAAAAGGTTGATTAGCCTGCACAAAAGACGATATGCTTCGAAAAGTTATACAAAACCGTCATATTTTTACTTTTGAATCAAGTCATGCAGATACTCGTGCATGTCATTGGCATTTATTTACTCTACATAAAGCTATAGTAGCTAGTTCATTGCTTTCTAGACTGGAACGAAATCAACCGGTACCAGTTCGTTCCGGTCATAATCAACAACATCAACGAAAAAATTTGGTAACGCTGTAATTTTTCGAGCACAAGATTGTAATTGTCATTATATGAAAGTAAGAATTATTGTTAGAATTGTTGCAACTGAGTGCTTTGAAACTCTCAGAAATTAACAATTAGCGTATAAACAATCGAACAATCCTAAGCAATCTGAATAAATATAATTTGTTTCAAAGAGTAAAAATAAAATTTAAAAGGAGTAGCTTTATTAAGTTCACCAGCGGCAAGTTTAAAGTTACTTATAATTTTTCGTTCACAAGATTATAAATGCTATTATATCAAAGTAAGAATGTCTGTCTGAATTGATGCAACTGAGTGCTGTGAAACTCTCAGAAATTAACAATTAGCTTATAAACAATCGAACAATCATAAGCAAAAATCGAATTCAACTTTTCTTTTTCGCTTCTTGGTGTTTGACAAAACTTGAAAATTGAAATTACCAATCGTTTTTTTGTTTCTCAAGTTATCGTTTATAGACAGACGCTGAAATACTACACCACACATGTCTTTACTTTTCACTCAACGTTAATCCATGGGGAGTAGGCGTAAAATTAAAGTTTTGTGTAAAGAAAAAACAAATCAGCAGCAAATCAAATTATTATTATGGAAAAGGATATTTCGTTGCGAAATTTCTGTCAAATGGAAACAACACAGTGCGTGACCTCTCAGATTTTCTGAAAGAACATCATTATCCTATAGTGTTGAAGGATTTATTGCAAGCACTTCCGAAAGTTTTTACCCGCCGGATTTATATTTGTTAAAGATTATCTACATTTATTAGGGATTATCTACATTTATTAAAGATTATCTGGCGTGCTGTGATACAGGGTAAAACTCGCTGCTTCATTTGCTTTTTTTTCAAATGGCGGTGAAACCATATTAAGCAGCACTCAATTTCCATTGATAAAAAAATGCAATTTCCACTTACAATTTACATTTGAGAACTACTCGATTTATTTATGATTGTTATGAAATAAACAAAATATCATTTGGAAGCAAAATAGCTACGCTTTTTTTGCTATGCAAAAATAAAAACGTGAAACATAATATCAAATGCACGAAACATATTTCGATCACCGTACAAAGATAAACATGCCTTTTTTGCTAAAAATCACCACATTGAGTTAGGTGGATGACATATGTAAGATCAAAATTTTATAGCTACTCTATGCAATACTTTTTCAACAATTACGTTTAGAGATGCACATTGTACAAATTGCTACGTATAAACAATAATTTGATTGGCTGCTGATTTGTTATCTCTTTACATAAAACGTGAATTTTGTGCTTACTCCACCTGTGGTGTTACATCAAGTCTCGTAAAACACCAAGAAAACAAAAAACAAATTTTGAATTCAATTTTTGATTTGAAGGAGAAACGAAAAACTTTTTGGTTTGATTTCTTCAATATGATTATTTAATTTCAGCAAAAAACGTTTAGCGGTCCGGAATGGTACACGCATTAGAAACGATATTCAAAGACATGATTTAAAAAAATTATCTAAATTATTTACATTCGCAACACTCCAAACATTATCAATCTCAAACCGGACAAAGGCAATGAAGTTGTAATCATGGATAGTCAAATATATCGTAAATCCTGTCTTAAAATCATTAACAATACAGCAAAGTTTACCCCACTCAAAGAAGACGTCGCACTATAACGCGAACCTAAACTGCAACGACTGTTAAGGAAACTTCTAAAGAAAGACTCGATCAACAACAAAGTTTACAATGAAATCTTCTCCAGATCTTCTCAACTCTCACGCTTCTATGGCTTACCGAAACTCCACAAGAAACGAAAACCAGGACAATCGCCTCCACTACGACCGATAGTTTCAACTTCTTTTCACAAATTCTTCATCTCCTACGACGTTGGAAGCTTATTTACTAACATACGACTTACTGAAGCCATCAACCTGGCAATTGACGTAATATTCACTCACAACCCCAGGTTCGGTATAAACATGACAGACCTCACACAACTGTTTTTAATAGCAACAGCACAGACGCATTTTTCGGAAAAACATTTTCTCATTAAAAAACCCAATCCCTGATGCAATCAAATCAATGGTGGTATATGAATTCAATTGCGTGGGATGTAATTTCCGATACATTGGCGAAACTTCGCGCCATTTATCCACCAGAATCAGAGAACATACCACAACAGACAAAAACTCTCATATCTACCGACTCCTTCTTAATTCTTACTCATTTAAAGCCAACTATCCACCCTTTTGCTTCAAAATCATCGACACTGCCGACTCCTCATTCTCCCTTAAAATCAAAGAAGCACTCCACATTAACAAAACTAACCCTGACCTCAATGTTCAAGTTTTTAAATTCAATACAATATTTAGTTTATAATGCGCTCGTACGCTCCCCATTAATTCATCTTATTTCCTTTTTTATTGTTTTAATTTATGCATCATATTACTTTTATATAAACCTTGTATTATTTATTATTTCACTTATACTGAAGATGGCATCATGAGATGTCGAAACATGTCTATTTTAAACATGGCGTAACATGTCGTTCGCAAACGTTAGGCATCCAACTCGCAGAATATTTTGTTTTTTTCGTTTTTAAACGCCATTTTGTTACTTCCTCATCAACTGTGCATAATTGTGAGTAGAAAAATAAGAATAATTGATGAAGGTTTTAACAAAGCACAAAATGTGAAAAACCATTAATTTTTTGTGAAATACTACACCCGACCAGCTTAAGCCCCAATTAGAGCGACATGTCTTTTGTCAACAAAGAGTTTATCAGTTTGATATGTTTATACTTGAATGAAAAACGATGATTAACGATTAACTTACAACAATAATTTTTGATTATGATTAACGTAATTAGGTTGTGCATAAAAAATTGTATTGCATTATTCACGGCTCGTTATACATGCATAGTGCCATATAGTATTGCGCACTTTATTTAAATGTTATCTTTTGCAGTATCGACGAACCATTTATAAGATTGTCACAGTCGTCGAGTACTTGGAATGTTTTGAATACTTTGAGAAATCAACTTAAAACGAATTTTGTCACTTATGCTGCGACCTCGTCCGACTTCAGACCTGAGCCTCAACGGATTTACAGAAATCGCCTACAAAAAAAGTGCTGGAAACAGAGAGCACAAAGCCATTGGAATCCTGCCCTTCATCTTTTTTGCACTTATGAATATGTTTTTAATTGCTTGAGCTTGAGACGAATCAAACGTTTTTTATATTCGTATATAATCCGAAAAACTTCACATATAGTTAAGGCAGTATAGTAATACTTTCTGTTTGACTGAATTATATTTACATGATTTTTCAAATTTTACAGTTATTAGCTATTTTGCAAGATTCTTCTTCACGAGGATTGGATTTGTTGTTTTCACCTCTTAAATGCACTTACAATAACAAACATAAGAGTAAGAATATTGATGTCTCCTTGTTCCAAGTGAAATTGTGTCTCCGTAAAAAGTACAAATCTTTGTACATTGAACTGGACATTGAATGAAAACGTAGCAAAAGTTTATGAACAACAAGATGCGAACCACATCAATCTTTATGCTTAATTATAAGCATTTTTTCATACAGTTTAAAAGGTAACGAACTTCAGTATTTATGAAGTAGTATATAAAACTGCTAAAAACAGCTTGAGAGATATAGAAATAACTTTAGTCAAGGACACGTATAAGTGTTTGCATGCACTTCATTTACCAGAAAAAATCTCAACTATTTTTGGGTAAAATGAACATGACAAACATCATGGTATATGTGCCAATTCTTCAATTCGGGACAAAAGTAACTTCAGAAAAAAAAGAAATAACCTTTCTGAAGACTTTAACATGTCTAAAAGGTTTACTTTTAGGGATGGTCATAGAAGAGAAAATTTGCATAAAATCAATAATTACGAAGAAAATTACCATATATGCACAAACTCTAATCAAATGAAATTTTGTAGGAAATTGACAAATATTCTTAAATTTTCATATTTTCAGGAAAAATAATATGAGATGAAAAAGAAGACTGTATATAAGATTAGGAGCCCCCCCCTGGAACCTGCTCATAACCCTAGGCACCTGCCAAAACACCTCGGTAAAATTCTATAGCTAAAAAGTTTAAATCAGATTGTCTAATCACAAACTATGATAACGCAATTAAAATATAAGCAATTACTTTCCCGTCCAATGAGCGAAAAATATATAATTAGGCTTTTTTAAAACCGTTCAGTTAATGGGAATTAGATTTCGATTAACTTGCCGATGCACCTTTACATATACTGTGAAACAAAGTAAGGCTGCTTCCAGTTTTCTTTTAGCGCATGATGTTTAACATTGAAAATAACATTGTCATTGGGACAATACGATTATTTTTATGATATAAATGTGGTTGAAATGAATTCTTAATACATGATTAGTGTTAGCTAGTTAAGTGTTCTTTTTTGTCCTGTGTGGTTGTTCTTTAAACAATGAAAATTTGATCTCTGCCAAGATTATTTTTTAATTTCTTTAAAATCAACCTTTGACCAGACATAGTGCATGGTGATTTGATTTTGAATGATGTGAAAATTAGTCGAATATCAATATTTGTACAGAAGCGTTTTATAATGTTTGTAAATCTGCTCTGTGTGTGTCGTGAGTAATGTCCGATGTATAGTAGTTTGAAGTATAGAGTTGTTATTTTGGAATTTTCATTTGTGTTGGTCGTGATCGTCGTGTCAGGAGTTTCGATGTCTAATTTTAAGGTTGTTGCTTTGTTTGTTGTCAAGATATCGTTTTACGGTTCTGTTAAAAAAGTGTAGTGGGAAAGAGTTTCGTAAAAAAGTGGATGTGATGTTTTTTATGTTTCGTTGAAAGCCATTGTTCGTATTGTTAATTATGTATGCTCTGTCGATTAGTGTGCGTATA